CCCCCCCCCCCCACCCTGGTTCACAAAATTTGACTGCGAGAAATTTTTTTCATTATTCTACATTATAAGTACCCAAAGAAGCTATATACATAAAATATCTTACACTATAGCTATTAATAGCTGTTTTGCAAAATTGAGAGCAATTTCAAATCTGTTTAGTTTTTTTATACTCCCTGTAGAGAGAACAACAATCGGTTCAGAGTTTCGACTGCGTATCGATCAAACGACATGGTCTAATTCGTGATAAAAATGCGCCATTTACACAGCTATCTAGTGTTTAGGATCAGAAAATTTCTAAATATATGCGAAGATAACGGTTTCGGCCCCTATTAAAAATGCCAAGATTATTTAATCAATATTTATTGCATTGCGGACAATTTCGGTTAATTCTGGCATATTCGTAAAAAATTAAATATCGTGATATTCCGCGAAAATCCGGCTATTCCGCGAATTTCCGGTAGTTTCCGCGAAATTCCGGTATATCAGTTTCTTGATATTCCGGCATTCCAGGATTGACAACGCCCCGTAATTTGTTAATTTTTCCGTATCTTTAATAAATTTAGCACAATTTTGGCTGTAACTATTTCTTTTTCTTCCGAGCTACAAAGGGCGTTGGAGCGGCTCTAAAGGTGTGTGTGTGTGTGTGTGGGCGGCACACTTAGCACCCGTCAAAGGTGAGTGACAGTTTAGGGGGTTCCAAGGCATACCCCCCAAAAAAAATAATTTGAAACTAGCGTCTCTGAAATGACATTTCTTGCACTTTAGAAGAAGTTTTTGAGAGATCTAAAGATAACAAAATGTAATTAATCTCAAATTCTTTTCTCTATATGCGTGACTGAAGTAATATCAATTAACTTTGCGGTTTATTATTGACCATTGTTAAAAAGTGCGGGGGGGGGAGGGGGGGGGGTGCAAAGACATTTAGGCCCCCAAACTAAAAAAGTGCTACCCCTGTAATGGAAAATAGCAGCAAATTCCAATAAATCACATCACGATCACATTCAACATGACTTATTACTTACGAATTTTTAAAAAAGGCCCTGATACGTTCTCAACACATTTTACCACAATGTAAATGGAGATAACGTTAATTGATTTACTGACCTTTTGGCTTTATGCAGCTTGCATTATATTCCTAGAAGTAAAACAGCATCATTAAATCTCCTTTGTTGTTAAAAGTTCTCACTGCTGAATGCAAAAGTACGGTGGCCCACAAGTGTCACAACACATTTCAATTTAAAAAACACACGCCGAAGTCCACAACACATTTTCAAACTGGAAACACAATTCAATAATTGCTAAAAACACATTTCAATAGTCACAACACATTTGCAAACTAGAAACACAATTCGAAAATTGTTCAAAACACATTTCAATATTCACAACACATTTCACACTCGAAAACAAAATGATTGAAAACACATTTCACTATAGTC